GACTAGTGCACTGGTGCCATCTGGCGGTATACCTTGCACACGTTGTAGCTGTTTTAAAAAACCCATTGCCACTGAGTTGATTCTGACCTACAGCAAGTCTTTGGACTGTAGAACTGTCCGCACAGGGTTTCCGAGGAGCAGCTGGTGGATTCAAACTGCAGACCTTTTGGTTAGCAGCCAAGCCCTCAACCACTGCACCATTACGGCTCCGTTGTAGATGTTAGAAAGATGTTGTTTTGGAGAAGTTAATACTTCTCCAAAATGAGAGCTACCATAAATTCAACACCTACATATTTATCCTGGGTATATAGATAAGGATCCTTTTAACAACATTGCGTTATCTTTATTTTAAAGCATAATTAATTTACTCAAGCCTACGGAATTAGTTCTGTTTGTTTGTAAAGTTCATTCTCTTCACAGATTAAATTGCCTCAAAATCTCTTTGCAGGCTGCACTTATAAAACATGAAATGAAAGCAAATGTCACAATCCAAAGTCTACAGGATAAAATTTTTATAACTTCTGATTAGTATATGAAGCTCTGGTGGTGCATTGGTTAAGAGCTCAGCTGCTAACCAAAAGGTTGGCCGTTTGAATCCACCAGCAGCTCCTTGGAAACCCCATGGGGCAGTTCTACTCTGTTCTATAGGGTTGCTATGAGTCAGAAGAAACTCAACAGGTTTGGTTTTGGTTTTCTGATTAATTAGTATATGGAATCCCTGTGTGGTGCAAATGGTTAACACACTTGGCTGCCAATCAAAAGGTTGGAGGTTAGAGTCCACCCAGAGACTCTTCCAAAGAAAGGCCTGATGATCTGCTTCCAAAAAATAAGCCAAAGAAAATTTTATGGAGTACAGTTCTACTCTGGACACAGGGTCGCCATGAGTCAGAATCGACTTGACATCAACTGGTTCGGGTTTTGTTTTGTTTTGTTTTACACCTAGTAACTAGTAGAGTACCAAACTCACACAAAAAATTCATAGAATGAATTTTATTCTGATTGTGGCTTTTCTTGTTATCACATCATAAAAGTGCTGAAAATCCCACTCATTCTATGAAGTTAATAATTTTATATTCTTGTGTATGGGAATATACAGTAAGTTTCTAGGGATATAGTTCACATACAAACATCAAGCTAGTGATGGAAAGCTGGCATTTTCAGACAGTGGGGTATCCCCGTGCCTCCTCAAATCCTATACAAATAGGTAATGGCCTGTTATGCTTCTACATGAGCATTCAACTTTCCCTTGGTGTCCCTTCCTCCTAGCTTAAACCACCATCTTCCTTTTCCCTTTATTCTTCCCCTAAATCCAGCCTTTACCTGGTTACTGAACCATATTTCTAATGAAGTACCAGTCCAGCTGCTTCTGGAGGTGGCACTTTCTGGATGCTAATTGGAGTCTGCTCTGCAAATATGAAGAGGAGGGAAAGGACAGGCCTATGGGTAGGGTACAGGTTACAGAGGCAGGAACATGAAGCAAATCACATACTACATCAAAATAGCAACAAATCTGTCCCTTTGAGTTACTTTTGATCCCACCAGGAATGAGTCTCTGCCAGATGATATAACTTCACCACCTTGAGAGGGGGAAGGACTGAAGAAGTCTAGCTCTGTCTGGAAGAGTAAGCACTTGAGGGATCCAAGGAAGAGCGCTCATGTCAAGAGCAAGACAAGGACGTGATACACAACCCATTACCCTGGCTTTGGCCAAAAGCAGGGCCCCCTTAGGAAGTATGTGGCCCTGGCCAAAAAAAATTTTTTGAGGAGTATGGGGGGCAGGAGCCCTGCTTATATAAACAATTTCATTTAATATGTTTTGTAAAATTCATGGGTTCAAGCGAAGTGTAGGGATTTATTGATGAAGATTTAGAATAATGGATATAGGAAAGGTATTTATTTGCTTATTGCCCAATAAGTGCACATATATACTCTTTGTAGTGTTCATCACCATCTCTTCCTGTTTAGGTCTAGGAACCATGAATTCATCATCTTTATTGTCAAATATGCCATTTTTGGATAATTTCATATCTCCCATCACAAGAATAAGGTACAACAATGCCATGGCTGTTCAGAACCTGTTTGGATTGAAACAATATAGATTTTCTTGTCTGTGCATTTCCCTAATGTCATTTATTTAAAGCTGGTTAAGTCATGATGTTGAATCATCCACTGTGCTGCCCGTGAAGATTTGGCTCTCAATGACGCTCTCAAATGGCTGTTACTTTACATTGCTGTTGACAACCACAAATGCAAGTCTTACCCAGAGTATGTGGGAAAGTGTGAATGATAACTATTTTCTGGTCAAGTGCAATTTGCCATTCGGAATTTTATAGGGAAAGCATAAAACAACACGTCTTCCAGGCATGTCTTCTCTTGACTTCTTTAGGTTGTAATCACTCCATTCCTAGAATATGACGTCTTTCACTACTGACTGCACTACTGCCGTCCACAGACTGCTACCAGCCAGGAGGATAGGCAAGGGCCCCATGGGCAAGAATGAAAAGAGCGGTCCCATTCACATAAGGCATGAGTATCCTTCCTCTTGCATAGATTAAGATCAGCCCAGGGATCTGTTATTATGGACTAAAAGATTCACACTGGAAGTGCAAAGAAACTACATTGAGAGTGAAAGAGCTGGTGAAAGCTTCACGAATGAGACAGAATTTGGGCTGTGATGGATTCCTTCTGTGAGTCTGAATCGACTCGATGGCAATGGGTTTTTTTAATTGTTTTTTTTTTGGGGGGGGGGGTTTAGGGGAGCGAGGGATTTGGAGTCCTTCTAATGAATTAATTTCCTGTTCCTGGTGGGTGAGGTGTCCGACAAAGCCTTGTCACCACCATGTCACATCAGCCACGGAAGCTGTATTTTCCTGCTCAAGCCACTAGAGGTCTGCAGAGTAGTTTGTAAATTGCTTTCCTGACTCTCGGGTCAGATGAAAGCCTTACCACTGCGATTAGTCCAAAATGGAGACCGGAAATGGGTGATGGGAGTATTCATTGGACAGTGAGTGAACCCTAAGTGACAGAAGCTAGAAGGGACCTATGAGATGATGTAGCCTCATCTGCAACTAAAAGTATATAGGCTTCAATTCCTAACTTATGTCAGTCTCTTAATAGTTCATCCCATACTATTGATCCTTTGGCTTTTGGTTAAGATGAAGTCAGACTTAACCTTTTCACATACTACTCCTTTCTTAATGTCCTTGGTTTCCCTACCACTTAAATTCCTAACCTGGCTGATTTCCTTTGACTCCTACTCTTCTCTCCTCTCTACTCACCCCACTGCTCCTTTTCGCCCCTGCTTTACATAATCTATCTTCTGTTTGCTCTTTGCTCCTTTTAAATGATCAGAGAGAGATTTCCCCTCAGAAAGAGTAGGAATCAACCGTCAGCACTTCTCCTCACTCCTCCACCCAACTCTAAAACCTCAAGGCAGCCCCAGATGTAGACACACTTCTTGCCCAACATAACTGTTGAGCACTATTTCCATTTCCTGAACTAATTTGGAAAAATGGTTGTCTCTTTTCCTTACTTTCCTGATCCACCCTCCTTCCAACCTCCTACACCAGAAATCTTTGACTATAGGACCAGCATCTGCCTAGCATAAAAGAAGTGAATGAATGGCTGAATAAATTTCTAAAAGTATCCAGTGAAGGAGAAAGGCAGACCCAAAAGAAAGACAAAAGGAGAACAGAGTAAAGAGGGGGGAAAAAAGCAAGGGAACAACGAGAGGCATGTAGTAAAATGTAGGAGGAAAGAGAAAAGGTTAGGAAAAAAAGGAGCCAGGGACAGGCAGAGGACAGAGTTGAGAGGATAGGGGAAGAGCATGGGGGAAGAAAGGAGAAGGACATAAGGGAAAAGACTACAAGAGGACAGGGGAGGAAAGAAAATAAAGACTAATAATATAACAATGTAAAACTAAGGCTAGGACTCAGACCAGGGGCCCAGAGAAGATCTTTCAATTCAGTGTCATAGACAACACAGAAATGACCAGGGATGGAGAAGAGAGAGCTGGCAATTATAAACAGTAACAACAAACACTTAAGACAGTGGATCTTGGGAGAAACAAGAGAAGACCACATACTACAGACCCTCCTAAGAATGAGCTTGTGGCTTCAATGAAGGGTCATAAATAAAGTTTTTATCTGAAAGAAGAGTGTGTCCTTCTGCTTTTACAAGAGGCAAGAGGTGTCCACTAGGTCAAGAATACAGAGTGCTGCCCTTGCCCCAGCACATCCTCTATCTTGGTCTGTACCACCACAACACCTTAACAGCAGACCCCCCCCCCCAAAAACAGAGCCCCTATATTTTTCCCAGTTCAGGAAGAGAAACCTGATCCACATGGTTCTCCAGTTGCAGCCAGAGATAAAATCACTTTAATTGCATCCACAGCAGAGACATGCAGATGGGCAGAGCCCAGGAGGCCTAGGTAACTGCCTGGAGGCTCACGGTGGAGTAGCAGGAAAGGATGTTGGTAAAAAACCAAACCCGTTGCTGTATGCCCCATAGGGTTCCCAAGGAGCAGCTGGTGGATTCAAACTGCCAACCTTTTGAATAGCAGGCAAACGCTTAATCACTGCACCACCAGAGCTCCACTGTGCCACCAGGGCCCTTGATATTGGTAAAGGAGGTGTTAAACTCTTCCAGTTTACAACCAAAAGCAAACTCAGACCAGGGAAGAGACTGCTGACCAGGACCACAGCAGGGACCAAAGCAGCTCTTTCCTTATACCTTTCCAGGAGCAAGGGACAGGAGAAACAAATACCTAGGGAGACTGGCCATCAGGACCCTATTCTCCCACCTCTAATCCCAGGAGAAAAACGCAAGTTGGGTAGCTCCCAGGGCAAAGAAGAATTATATTTTCAAGGAAGAATGATAAAGAGTAGGCCAGCCCCTCTTCCCAGCACCTTCTCTGCAGAATACCTAAGAGGAGGGGGAGCAAGATGAGATAGAGGAAGAGGAAGAGAAGAAGGTGAAGAGAAGGAAGAGGACGAGTTGCTTCACTGTCCAGGGGATAACTGGAGCTTCATGTCATTACAGGTTATAACAATGTACTTTTCAAAAATGAAAGTTAGGTAGCTGCAGTGAGGAGTGACCTGGCCTGGTTTGGACAACTTGCAGTGTGTCAAACTGAAGGGGCGAGGGCTTTTGTGACACTTGCCCCCTTTGAGCTCACAGGCAATGACTGGACTGTTACAGACAGCCTTGACCGTGTCTTCATCCTCATGGAGAAATGTGTACTGGGTTATGCAAGTTTGGTTGTGCTTCTTTATCTTGTGAGCCATCATGGCATTGCATTCCCTGGAGAGAAGGTCATACCTAAGGTACTCTTTACTACTCTGAGAGAGAACATCAACCCTGAGCATCTTGTTGTCCCCAACCTCATCTTCATTGAAGATTGTGTCTTCTGGTTGCCAGCCAGCTTGTGCTAGTCCTCGGTTGCTAAGCACCAGAGTTTCTGTGTTACGGGTGCCCTCTCCCTCCTCAACAGCCTCAGCCTTGTCCTGGGAGTCACTGGCCCAAAACTCATTCAGTGGCTGATCACTATCTTCCAGGACTGCTGCGGCCATGTGAAGCCCCAGGCCCAGTCCCATCCCCAGGCCCAGCAGCAGCAGCAGCAGCATGAAGAAGATCTGCACCAGAGTCAGCTTCATTTTTCCTGGAGAGGAGAAAGGAGATGAGGATGAAAACTGGCTCCAATAGAGATCCTATTCTCCCCAAAACCTCACAGCGTAGTCTCTGGGGTCTTCTCTCCGTTCTCTATGTTACTTCACCCCCCTCAAGACAGAGATCCTTGTCTTTATTTTTCCATTTCTCCCGTCCCTCCCTACCACAACTCCTGTTGCTGTGCAGTAAGGTGTGGATCCTGCAGAGCAGGAAGACAATCAGGGGAAGCAGTTCTGAAATTGGTCCACATATGGGGAGTCAGGAAAGTTGATACCAATTCACTCTTAGACAGAAATTAATTCCAAATAACCAAGGAGAATGATTGATAAAACAAGCAAGGACAGTGTCACACTTTCCTTGAGAGAAATTCTTATAGAAAGCCTATTCTTAGTAAAGGCCTAGAGTCACCATAAGAGACCATCTCTATTTTTACCCCAAATTTACTTCTGCTAATTCTAGTATCTATTATGCACCATCCCCACAAAAGATCAAAAAGAATAGAAAAAATACCATAGTCCAGTCTCACTTCTAAGCTGAGCTGAGGAAAGATGTCCAACTTCACATTTCAGGCTCTTTCTAGAACTACATCTTGTAATGCTAGATTCCTTCTGCAACTAAAGAGCTGTTAACACCTGGGTACTCCTTGCTGAGACTAAACCAAAGAAAACCAAACAATTGACCTACTGGGGTCTCCCTACTAATAAAGACCCTAATGAGAGCTGAGGAAAAGAGAGTGTTTTTGTCCTTCTAGACCAACCTCATCTTCCTTCCCTACCAGAGGAAAAAAAAAATGCTATAAAGAACATTTTTGAGACATTTGATAAAATTAGTGATACAGTCTATGGACTAAATAAAGTATTATATCAATGTTTAATATGCTGAATGTGAAAACTGTACTCTAAGTAATTACCAAAATGTTTTTGTTCTTAGGAAATGCACCCTGAAGTATTATGGAGTAAAGGAGCATGATGTATGCATCCTACTCTCTCATATGGTTCAGAAAACAAATACATGACTATGTATACATATATATGTGTTTACAGTGATTTAGGAAGTAATATTGGAATCATTATTCCCTGTCCTTGAGCATAGAGAATGTGACCAGCTGGAGCTGGGCTCACAGGGACACACAAGGACACATCAACTGGGCCTTGAGATATAAAGACAATAGCTAGGACAATCTTAGAAAATACCTTTTCAGGAACCTTTCACATAAGCCAATCAAACAGAACACAAAAGAGTTTCACTCTTATCTTTTTCTATTAGCATTTAGTAAATAGAAAATTTGTTGGACAAATGAAGACCCTCCTGACTGTCGTTACTGAAACCTGTGCCAATGATTGTTAAGAAAGACCATTCAAAATGTAGGATCACAGTTTCTAGCCAATCTGTGAAAAGGTGACCCTTTCAATGGTTTTGCCCATTTGCAATGTTAATATATACTGATGACTCTCTAACAGTTCCTTGGACTCTGGCAGACATGGCTCTAGCAGCGTGCTTGTCCATTTCCTACTTTTGCCTCTTTGAATATATGCCGAATAAAACTTGCTTTACGCTTTACTAAACTTTGTGATGTTTTTGCCTACAACTACCGAAAGAGAATGATCAACCAAATGTAGTAAAAAGTTGTTTTTTGGTTTTTGTTTTTAAATAATGTATCTGAATAAAGGGTATTCAGGAGTTCTTTGTATTATTTTTGCCATTTTTCTGTAAAGTTGAAAATATTTCAAAATAAAAAAATTTCTAAACAATAGAAACCTTCCCATGTTGCTCCCTATGACTTACCTACACACCTAAGAAGCTTCAAAGATTCTTGTTTCCTCCCCTTCCCCAAGCTCTTGTCTCCCAGGGTTTCCTTCTCTCTGAGCAGTCCACTGGCATCTGGTCTGCAGCATAATGGTTATCTCCTGGTGGTCCATGTCCTCTTAAACACAGACTCATTTCCTAAGCCCACAGCCCTCCCACTCACCACATCTAGCACTAAATAAATACACTCAGCCCATTCTTATTTCTGCTCCCACAAACACTTTGAAGTAAAGCTTCTTGGGCATTCAGACAGAACCAAACATCCAAGACAGGAAATATCTCCAGTCTGGGGAACTGTAAACAGCTTTGTTTTGTCAAGCAACTGTTCCACTCCTGAGTTACACCCACTGTCCTGTGGTTTACAGCAGCCTGACCTTGCCTCTGAATTTCAAACCTAGTCATTTCCTTCTATTCTCTATTAGGCCTTCCTTTAACTCCCTTCCTGTCATTTTTGGAATGTCAAGATCTGTGGTCTTTATTTGGGTCATCTCTCCAGCACAGATTTTTTTGCTTTTCACCTCTTAAAGCTATATCATGACTTCATTTGAAGATTTGAGGTGAGTCAATCATGAATTTTCACGTATCTTTACCTACGAAGTCTATCCCAGTCTTCCATTCTCCACCACCTCTTTCTGTCCCTCAGCCTATAATCACATTCCCATAAGAATATCCAGATTTTGCAAATTCAGTAATTTAGCCCTGTTGTTATTGTTATTGTTAGTTATTGTCTAGTCAGCTCTGACTCAAGGCAACCTTATATATAACAAAACAAAACATTGGCCAGTCCTACGCTGTCTTCATGATCATTGGTATAATTTAGCCTGAGATAATATCCAACACAGCACTATCACTGTCAGTCCCTGTAGACTGGGGGAGTAAAACCAGGAGATAGATTACAATATTAACTCTAAAGTTCACTTCTTTAGCTAAAATTGAGATCAAGAGATAACATTTTTAAAAGCACTCTGACGACTATTAAAGCACAATAAAAATCCTCTCTAGACGTAAACAGGGCTTTTTAGGAAGATGGAGCCTTATTGGTACAGTGGTTAAGAACTTGGCTGCTAACCAAAAGTCTGCAGTTCAAATCCACCAGCTGCTCCTTAGAAACCCTATGGGGCAGTTCTACTCTATCCTATAGGGTCGCTGTGAGTCTGAATCAACTCAACAGCAATGGGTTTGGTTTTGGTTTTTTTTTTTAGGAAGATGTTTTCCTTAGTCATTCAGACAGGAGTTTTCAAATAGTAGTCTATGAGCCGCTTTTGTGATCCATCAAGCTGATCTTTTGCCATGCTGATGTTCATAATTTACAGTAATTATAATAATAACCAATATTGAGCACTTACTTTATTGTAGGCAGTTATTGCATTTCACCTTCTCAGCTTGCTTGTGTCCCTCTTTCGTGTCAGTTCTGCACATTCACTCTAGTGAGGTCTATTCACAACATAAAGATGGAAGAAAGAATTCTCTGCTGATCCCAGTAGCAGTCTGAGATCAGCAGGAATAATGTATTCAATTACAGACTTCACTAGTTTCTTTATGAGTGTGTTTTGGTTACCATTAGAGATCATTTGAAATTAACCTTGAATAAATATGAAGAAAGGATCTGTGTCTGTGGTTTAAGTAGTGCCTTTAGATGGGACAGGTTTTGTCCTTGGTTTTTTCTTTTTCTAGGCTTCAGTTTTCTTATCTTCTAAATCTGGATAATAGTAGCACTTACCTCATAGGGAATTTGCGAATATTATATGAGACACTAAGGTCTCTGGGTGGTGCAAACTGTTTGCACTCTACTACTAACCTAAAGGTTGGTGGTTTGAACCCACCCAGTGGCACCATGGAAGAAAGGCCTGGAGATCTGCTTCTATAAAGATTACAGCCAAGAAAACCCTATGGGGCAGTTCTACTCTGTAACATGGGGTTTCCACGAGTAGGAATCGATTTGACAGCAACAGGTTTTGTTGTTTTTTTTAAAGTATGAGACACTACATGTAAAACTAGATGTGCTAGTTATTGTTGTTGTTTCCGTTATTGCTATTATGTGGCAATTACCTACACACGCTCATCACCCCATCAATACCATTTTTCTATTGAGAAATAGCATATAATAAGTAGGAGCCTGGTGATGCAGTGGTTAAGAGCTATGGCTGCTAACCAAAAGGTTGGCAGTTCGAATCCACCAGCTTCTCCTTGGAAACACTATAGAGCAGTTCTACTCTATCCCATAGGGCCGTTATGAGTTGGAATCAACTCGACAACAATGGGTTTGGGTTTATCATTTTTATAGCTACCAACATTCCTCACTGCTTCTCCTAGAAACCAGCCAACATTATTCTAGAATCTCAGAGAAGAAATTCAAGTTCATAGAAATTGACTTCATCTTAAAATGAAGAAAACAACTCAAAGAGGTTAATGTGTTTGCTTCAGATGCTACATGTAAGTAATGGAAGTGCTGATTTTAGAATTGCTATCTTCTAGTTAAGCGAAATTTATTAACAAAAGGCAAAGAAAGAACAGACATGCTGATTAAAAAACTGGCAATGAATCCATCTGTTATGGATTGAATTCAGCCCTCAATATGCTGAAGTCCTAACCTCTGCAGTAGTAAATGTGCAGATGTTATCAGCTGAGTTAGCAAAGTCATACGGAAGCAGAGTGGGTCCTAATCTGAATCCCTTCTGAGTAGCATCTTATAAAAGAGAAAGACAAGACACAGAAATAGAGTCATACACAAGGGGAAGACAGCATATCAGAATTAGTCTACAAGCCAAGCAACACCAACAAATGCACAAGATTACAGAAACTGAAAGAAATGAGGAAGAATTTTCCTCTAGAGCCCTGCCAACGTCCTGAAGTCAGACTTCCGGCCCCCTGAACTGTGAAAAAATAAACTTCTGTTCCTGAAAGCCACCCACTTAGGAAACTAAGACACCATCTAAAACTTAGATTCTAAGTATTATTTCTCATTGTAACTCAATCTAAAATGTGGGCTTCCACTTCTGGTCAAGATATAATTCACAGTGACCGGTTTTCCCCTGACACTCCTAGAAAAATGATTATACAAAACAACAGCTTTTCAAGACATTGGACATCAGGCAATGAAGGACAGTGATCACTAAGAGATGGTAAACAAATGAGGTGAGTCCTGTGATTGTGCCAGTTTACTCCCCAGAGTAAACTGGGGAATCCAGGCAGAATCTGTCAGCCTCCCTGAGAGGAGGAGATGTAACTGGAAGTTTAAGGAAGCCAAGACAGCTAGAGTTCACAGTGTGGAGAGGAGAGAGCTGCAGAGATAGAACCCTGGAGATTCGTAGCAATGAGATATCACTAGAATGGCTTTTAAAAAAAAAAAAAAAAAAAAAGTGACAAGGATACAGAGAAACTGGATCTCTCATACATTGCTATTGGGAAAGTAAAATGGTGCAGCCACTCTGGAAAATAGTTTGGC